GCCAATCATTTTAAACCAAATTACCTTTTATAAAATCAGCAATTTTGAGGATATCCCAAAAGATAGTGGACCAGGCACGGAGGACGAGGACTCGACTGCTCTTGATTTCGAAATCGTAGATATAGACGAAGGAGCAAGCATTTCTTCGGATCAGTACGAAATCGACGCCTAGGCGGTGTAAAATGCGCATATAACTGCCGATGAATTCATACTATACCCTATCACGTTTTATGAGTTGCATTTTGTTTATAGCTCTGCAGGGATCGTTTTAAATATTATGATAGTCAGACGATGCTAGTACTTCCTAAACGTGATGTGCACTTTTGTACCTTTCATTGTAATTTAGTCCACCTCTGGTATGTCTTTCAGCTTGCTGTATAAATTTGCTATCTTGGATTGCTAGGCATGTAATAATCAAGAAATTTAGGACAAGTAATGTAACTATTCAGTATTTAAAATAATCTTTCAATTTTCTGAATCTTTTAGGCATGTAAAATGTTATGGAGATGTAAAGTGATGCGGTACCATATTTCTTTGGGTTAGAGAGGGGAGGGGGGACTGCTTGGGTCTTTTCAGATCTTTCGTCGTCGTTGTAGCGTCGACATTGATGGCGTCGGCGACAAACAAAACAGTTGTTTGAGAAAATAATGCAAATGCGCGTCGCTTGTTCACTATTATGTTCTGTTTGGAGGGAATTGGGGTGGGAACAAGTGAAAGGTAACGAATCTCGAAAAATGCCTGCAAAAGAGTGAATGAAGAGTCGATGAGTTTCATTGAACGCTGTTGGAAAAGACATCTTGTCTATGTGATGGCCACGAATAATGTAAAAGGTTACTCCCAAGGTACTACAACATTGCCGATTATGCTGTCAGCCTTGCAAGTAAATGCTGGCCGCGGTCGAAAATCATCGCCTTCTTTTCTACTTTTCAAATTTCTACCTTTTGTGAATTTCTTTGGTCTATAGCAGTACCTTCGGGAAGAAAGAAAACCAAAATGAAGAAATCGTAGATAAGAATCGCAAGAAAGCCTAAAATTATCATCTTAGAACCGATGATTCCTTGCTTTACCGTATCTGACCTCTTATGAGGGGCGGGCTTCGCCTATCTCATGCA